AGCGAAAATGAGTAAAATGAAGCATAATAGAAAATTATCGAATAACAGCATAGAAGCAATAAACATTTTGCGTAATTTCGCTTATGCATTTCCGGAAAAATCACGAAACATCCAAGGACGACTGTGATATATTCTAAAATTAGGAGGAATAAGCAGTGCCGGTTCCGCGTACTTTCAAAAGTAAGATGTCTGTGTATGTAAAAACTAGTAAAGATTAATGCCTGACACGAAAGTGACAAATATGCGAATAAAAAAAGTTTCCAAAAATGTAATTGTATTGCAGCTCAACAAATACAGATATAAACTGCCTTTAAGTGTGACAGATTTGTCTTCAAAAAATGCATATCTTCTGGAACAACCCCAAGACGAGTAATCAATTCCTGTAATTTTTTCACTAATGCATTTACCATTGGCGTTTTCTGAACCAAGACTTCAATCTGGCAGAAATGAACAAAATTAGCAAATTCGGCTGAAAATTTCTTGCTGAGGCACTTCTGCGAAAAGCATACTTTTGCCATTCTGGAGGGGAATTATTCACTACGGCGTACAAAAAAAAAAAATGATAAAATGCGGTAAAACAGTAAAAATTTTGTTTACACTTCCACTGCGATTTGTTTACAATAAGTAGAAAGCGACAAATTTTGAAAGAATGCCGGCACTTCACTAAAGCAAAAAGCTCCGCAACGAATCGTGCATAGCGGAAGTTGCATATGGCTAAATACAGCATAGAGGCTATAAATACTTTTTCATTCAAGAATTTTTTGAAGCTGTTTTCATAGAAATGAGCAGCAACTGCAAATGTCAAACTTTCTTCCCTCTTCGCACTCTCTGTGGGAGGAAAAAATACGCCCAAGAAACAGCTCGGGTGATAGCACAGTCTAACAAGGCTGTCGATGGTTCCGTCTTTCAAAAGTTGCTCAGAAACAAGCTGATGGTGACGGGATTATCTGATTTTTTTAATTCGAGCAGCAATCGATAAAAGAAATACCGTAAAAGCCTGCGGTAAGTCAATTAACAATTCAAAAAACTAAAAACTCCTCCATGCCAGTTCCATGGAAAAAAAAATAAAGCCATGTTTAATTCAATTCCAAAACGATACAGGCGGGCTCAATGACGAAGGCTGTACACACTACCCATCTGTCAAGAAATGTTTGAAACGTGAAATACTGAGAATTTGCCAGGGCGAAAATTCCCAAGACAATAATAACTAAAACTCAAATAACAGCTATATACTTTTTCAAAAAATCAGCAGCGAAAGAAATTCGTAATTTTTGAGACCCATTCAGTCAGATACTCAATAGTAAATATGACTCTCCTTAGTCAATGAACATATTGAAGTGACCGTTTGCGGATCATCAGCCGACCCCTTGTAATCGTCTGTTGATCTGATTGTCGCCATTGGACTCCACTTTTTCAGTAAGTTTTCTAAAAATAAATTACTTTCTCAACTGATAGTAGAGCATAAACAGTGTCAGAAACGACTACCACCATTCTGGTATCAAATTCACATGTTCCAGCAGGAAATAACTTTACGGGAACAATAATTTCAACAGAGCAAGCATGCCCATTTGGCGTGAGGATGTCCATCAGTAGCATCGATGGCTCCAAATAGGAAGCTCAAAAAAATCTAATGCAATCTGTTAAAAACAATAAGTCAGGTAGATTTTAAATCCATACACAGATTTGTTAAAAAAAAAAAAAAACGATATTACCTTTCCACAGTCGCACATATCCATCTGAACTTGCTCCAGTCAATATTGTCCCAGTTATGTTCCATGATAAGCGCCACACCTACAAGAAAGGGTGTAACTTACACATTAAATAAAGCAACAAATTCATCATATTCAATAAAATCATTTGGGTTTTCCCTCAATCGGTGAGGTACGCCATGGTAATCTATGACCGGGCACGTTCGGAATGAAATGGTAATGTGAAACATATGCGAGCTTGAAATTCTCTCAAGAGAAGCAGTTGGATAATGCTTTGCCAATTTTGCTTCTACCGAAAAAACTACTGAAACAAGAAGCCATATAAAAGGGCGAACGGACGTCAGATAGGTTGCCGTCTGTGAAGCAGCAACGATTAAAGGAACTGGGAAAATTGTAGATGTGTCGCAGAACTACACAGTTTGCTGCAACTGCTCCAAATATTCGGCATTTCGCTGCACAAAGTGAGATGCAGCAAAGAAGTGCAAAGTGAGGTCATCAAAAGTACAATGATCGCTCGCTCAGCCAAAAAAACTATGCAGAATTTATTACTGGTTTAAAGGTGCAAAGCTGGAAGAGTATGAACTGACCGGAATAACAAAATTCGAAGGAAAATCAAGTCAGCAAAACTCAAACAAGGATTATTTTAACAAACAGAAAGGACTAGTTCAAAGATCAATAATTGGCCAACGCACAGGTTGTCCGTGCGAAGATGCATTTTGCATAGTTCCCCGCAATTTTTGTCGCCACAGGCATCGGTTTTTTCGGCAAATGCTTCTAGCTAAACAAATTAAGACTGGCCATCAGAACTGTCAGA